ACCTACTGGAAGACTTGCACCAAGCTTGAAACATTTAAAAACATCAATCATAAAAACAAAGACAGGACACTGAATTATACAGTATTAACCTCCAGGGTTTGCATACAAAGACCTTAGATTTATTTATGTCCCAGTGAGTTAAGAGCTTCAGTACACCGTTCTTTACACCAAACTGACTGCCAATTTGATGAACCTCTCTACCCTCAGCAGGAGTGCACTGTCTTTGATTAATGAGTGCATGTTTGTGGAAAAGTGTTAAGAGGAAAAAACAGAAAAAACACACACTATGTCTACACACATATGTGAAGCACTAATACAATAATTGTTTTCAAACCAAATATTCCTTTTTCTTATATACTTATGCTTATGAACATAAAAGGTTTTTTTAAATCTACATATTACATTCATTATTATGGTCCCACTACTCAAATCTTTTTTATTTGAATGAAAGGAATTCAAAAACTAAGATATGAATCAAGTTTTATAAATTATAAAAATTATGTAAAAGCATTTTATTTTGTAAAAACTGAAATTATATAGTAAAAATTCAAAAATGCAGGATAAAAATATTTTCACTTAATATTCTTATAAAAGCCTATTAATTTTAAAAGCTCAATGTTTCACTTACAAATATCTTAACTATTAAATATTTTACATCAAAAATTCTATTTTGACTTGCCACAAATAGCATTCAAAACAGATTTTAAAATCATCTAAACTCATTTAATTTCTCCACTTTCAACAGATTCTGTCAATATTTTATAACTCCATACATAGCTGTAAATGAATTAAAGTTATAACACATAATTTCAAAGTTCATGTTCAAAAGAAAAGTTTATGAATCAAAGTATATACTTTGTATGACTTGTCTGTTTAGAATTATCTTCCTTTAAAATACTCAATGCTGAAAATTTCCACTTTAATTTTAGGATGCTTTGAGCACTACAATATCTCTATCATAAACTAAGAATTGAGATTCCTTTAAATATAGCTTACATTAAATACACAATTCAATTTATCACATTTGGCTTATATGATTATCTGCCTTGATGCAAATATTGTATCAGTAAATATGTTTCTTAAAAATGAGTCATAGTCTAAGGTAACCAAACAATTTTCTTTTTAAGGAATTGTATGGCTATTCACAAAAACATTTCAGTATATTACCTAAAAATAAATCTGAGTTTTAGTTACAGTAATACATGACCTACATAAAAGGAAAATATCTTCATAAACATAATTTTAAGATATAATAATCCTAAAAAAGATATAATAATCCTAGAATCACTGAGATATAACTGTTGAATATTTGTTTATATTATACAGAAAGTCCTTTTAATAGGAACTGCCTCAGCAAATTATATATTCTAACCATCAATTACACATTTTAAGAATTTTTTTTAAAACAAACTCATTTAAATGTTTAAATTTTAGGCTCTCTGAAGAATTGTTAAGTATCTAGTTACTTAGTGATTTAAAAATATTAAAATTTAACAAATATAGGGACTAAAAAAGGATTCAATACAGTAGTAAACTACAGTAAGATATCATCAGGTTTATCATCCTAAAGTTTTTTATCCAATTTTATAAAAATGTTTTTGTCTATTGGAATTGTTACTCTACATTCTTTCTTTTTGCTCCTTCCCATCTCCCCTAATAGCAACAAAACCATGCAAATAATTAAGAGAAAGTACAAAACACTGAGGCACAGGCACCCATGGAATAACACCATGTTAGTACCACAGTATGACAGTTAAAAACTATCAATAATAGTTATAAAAATAAAATACAAATTTCATGTTTAAAATTATTAAGTGGCAACTAGTATAATAATTTAGAGTTTGTGTGAATTTTTAAATAACATTTTGACCTTGTTATAAAAGAAAATTAAAAACAAAACTGCCTGTTTCCCCCACAATTATTTTTTCTTGTGATTATCTCCTACAACAAAAGTTTAAAGAAACACTAAATCAAATGAGGTAACATTTAATAAATGAGATGCAATATTTTAAAGAACTTACTGTACAATATATTTAAATTTGTGTAATCACAAACTTCTTAAAATACCCAAGTAGGTAATCTGATTAATCCCTCTGGAAATCAAGTATATTAATCATTAATCCTTAATTACATAATTTCATTTAGGGTCAATTACCATATTACTTTGAGCAAAATCATATTCTTCCTTTGATAGTTTTAACTAGGATTAATTGCAAAAGCTCAGAAATCTGTTTCTTTGAGAAATCTTGAAACTTACAAGTAATCAAGTTATAACACATACTTTCACTAATTCAAGGAGGTAAGAGAGTAGCCAGTGAACTTTCCTGCAACTGTAATATCCTACAGCTTGTGTAGTAACACAAAAGTAGCAACAAAGACATTAACAATTGCAGTTCAAGCTGGGAGTGACTGTTCTGTTTCAATTCAATGACACCACTAATGGCTTCTTAGCAGCTCCATGAAATCAACCAGCTGTCAAGTTGATGCATCAGAAGGAACAGTTATGCACTCCCATAAGAAAAAGCAACACATCAGGATGTTTGGCAAAACATCTGCTCCTTTACACTGCAGTTCTATAATAAACATGCAAACAAAGAAATGGGAGAAAGGGCAACAGAATTAAAAGTCCAAGGTTTCCATTACATCTTACATGGATTTTAAATGGATGACATACTTCAAAATTTTTTTAAATTTCTGTTCAAAGTTGAATACTTTTGTTATGTTTTCTTTGAAAATGCTAAATGTAATTGAAAGCTCAAATTCTTCTAGAAAGGTAGGAACTACATTTTAAAAATTCAGAGTAAACAGTATTCATCAAGTAAAAGCAGTATCATGTTGTAAAAAACCCCAAAACTAAAATATATCCTTCATTTCAATATCAACAATATGGTAACAAATGCATCTTCAATACTGAACAGCCCAAAAATATTTTTTCAGCAGTGCTCGAAAGACTAAATGTTGCTATAATTCCTTACTAATTTAACGTATGACAACAGTTTTTACTATTATCTAGATTTTAGAATATGTACTATTTCTATTTCTCTTTATAAATGGACATGATAGTATAAAATTCTCATAATTTCCTGTTTATAAGGCATACAATCTCATTCCTTGGAAAAAACCTTCAGAAACTTAAAATACCTTCAACCACTTGTTTCAAATATTTGTAAAAATCTTATTTTACTTTCTCAAATAGTACCTTAATGTTCTAAATTATTGACTATGCAGCACAGTGACAATAATATGTACAGTATTTACAATAGGTGTGAAACATCAAATGTACTTAACTACCATTTTCTTAAACTGCTTATCTTCTGTTGCTTGCCATTTATAATCTGCCAAATCTTCTAGTCCTTTGTTGCATGTATAATTTAGAACCATCTGTTCTATGTGCTTTTAACTATTTAAACATTTTTCACCTACCTACAATTCACATAAATGGCAGACATTCAATTCAGTCAAGCTTTCAATACAGCATTTTACATAAAGCAAATTTCTGGGTAAATAGCAGATAACACCAAAAAAGACTGCTACAGAAATTAAAAACATACTGTTTACCAGGTAAGATTTTACATGTTAGACAAAGCTTTTCAATGTATTAAGAATGTTTTCTTTAAGGTTTTTTTTTTTAAAGTTAATTGCAGTCAGTGTTTTTCCTGAACCCAGAAGACAAAGAGAATGCAAATTAAATACAATTTCAAGTCCTTGTTAGAAGAGATGTAAATATGCTGACTGAAAATGACTACGGGAGACAGAATTCCACTTTCCCACTCAATTTACAGTGTCTCTTATTTATATACTAGTCAGAGAGTGTATCATTAAGTTTGGTCATGTGACCAGCCCAACTTTTGTGAGATGAAAAACTGTTTTACACAGCAAATTAAAACACTAATTTTATTGCATTTTTTTCATAATGGCTGACAATTTATAGCTAAATATTATAAATTATCTTTTAAAGTAAATCTCCCTTTTACACATTCGGCTACATTTTGCCAATTATTTAATAGTATCTGCTACTAAAATTCTTAAGTATTTAGTACCTTGAGGTATTTCCAGCAGTTCTACTTTACAGATGTAAATAAGTATACAAAAAGACACTATTCAATTACAAAAGGAGTGCTAAGTAATCTAAGTAATGTATATGTAAATTTAACGAGGCTCACTAAACAAATATTCATAGGACAGCAAACAAGAAAGGGAATATGCTGATTACAAATTTATTTGAAATAATCTAGATGAACAGCAAAAGACACAATATGTTTATATCAATTTTCGCACATAATCTTCCACCTGTTACCAAACTAAAAATGTGCAGATTTGCCTTTTCATTTGAAAGCAAAACAAAATACGCCACACAACTAAGCATTAAGCTGTTAAGTTTCACGATCCTTTAAAACGGGGGAAATTGAGCAAAAATATTACTTTTGGAAAAATTTCTCGATAGTTTAAATGACGTCACTAAACCCCCTGAACATATTCTAAACTTCGAGCCTCATCCATAAACGCTTTCTGGTGTTCTAAGGCTTCTTTCCCGGCCTAAAAAATAAAAAAAGGGAGACTTGGGAATAAAAATTGCCCAAGATGGCGAAACGCTTGTTGTTTAGAGGGCACGGGAAAAAATGGAGGATATTGTAATATACACAAAGGGATAAATTTCAACAACTCGGCTAAGGACTGCAGCTGCTTCTCTCTTTATAAGGAAGCAAAACACAAAAGAGAAATACAGAGGGAAAGAGAAAAGAAGAGAAAATCTCCCCAACAGCAGGGCCAGCTCCGGCTCTTCACACACTTTATTTACCAAATCTCAATTCTGGGGTTCGTGGAATTACTTTAAGGGGAGGGGAACCGAGAAAGCAAAAGGGGGAGGGGAGGGACAAGATTAAAAGAGAACCAGAAGAGTTGAGAGCTGGCAGCGGTTCCTGGGGAAGAACTGCTAGATGAGACCGTACTGTAGGAAAAGCAAAGCTGCTCACATCTGCATTCCGACCAGACCTTCCCAGGTACCCAGGTCTCTCCCCAGTCCCACCTGCCCTACCCCCACCTCCGCTCATTTTCTTAAACTCCAGAGCCTCGAGCTACACATGGCAGGAGAGGGGCCCGGTGGGGGAGGGGGCGCCCAGCGAAGCCGTCCCGGAGGGAAGGGGGGGCGGAGGCAAACGGGGTGGCCGGAGGAGGCGGACGTGGGGGTGGGGTGGGGTGAGGGGCATCTGCAAACTACCCCGGCCGCGAGTGGGGCCGGCGCCGCGTTCCGGGGCAGGAACGCGCCCGCAGCGCTCCGGGGTGGTGGTTAAGGAGCAGAGCTGGTGGCGGCGACCTGAGCGCCGGAGCTCGAGGGGAGGACAGCGCCGCCAAGCCCGGCGGCCGAGGAGGGCGCCCGCACAAAGGCGGCGGACGCGCGGCGGCTGCCCGGTGCTCGGAGAGCGGGCCGCGGCCCTGCTAGCCCGAAGTCCCGCGCCGGCGGCGGGGCGTAAAGTTTACATCCTCCTGAGACCGCACCCCCCCTTCCCACGCAGGACCGCACCTCTCCGCGTCCTCTTCCCCCAAACTCCACTCGGGACCCCGAGGGCCACCCGTGCCTTCAGCCAGCACAACAAAGAGACACCGACCGGCGAGGGTAAACAGCGGCGGCCGGGCGGGCAGGCCGGGCAGGCGAGCAGGGCGGGCAGGGCGAGCGCCTCCGGAGCAACTCCCGAGTCCCTGCTCGCGGCAGTGTAGTTTCTCCTTTTTTTCCTACCGGCTTCATAACATTTGGAATTTTTCATCGTCACCCGCTCCCCACACACCCGAGGATTTTTAAACTCACCTTTACTTTCGAACTGAAGAGTTGCAGTAGATGGGATTTTTGCCTTCCCCAGATGGTTGAAGGTTAAGATTTTTGGACTCCCCACCACCTCCTTATTTCTATTATAATTTCTGCAAGAAAAGTATAAAGAGTTGGAGTGGAGGTGAAATCTGTGATCGGGAAAGCCCTTGATTCCCTCCTCCGTCTTCCGCCTCTCTCTCTCTCTGATTAGTTCCTATCTAGCAGCAGATTGAAGCAGGAGATGATTCTTCTCAAGGTTTGTTCAGCAGCTTCACTTCTAGGCGAAGGCTTCATGAACCAAGTGACGTCAACCAACAAGGCTTCTCTCTCTCTCCTCTCTCTAACAATGAAAGTTGCTGTTAACAAGGGAAAAAAGAGAGAGAATTGTTTATACCATTTCAGTTCCAATAATAAATGACCTATCAGATCCTAAAGAAGCCAAGGGAGGGGGTTCCTTCTTCCCTCCAAGAATACTGTAGCTTTGAGTTTGCACCGTTCCTTGTCCCAGGAAAAAGTTGAAGAAACTTAAATGTTTTGTTTTGCTTTTAAAATAGGACAGAATAAAAGTGACTAATGGCCACCTTTGGTTAACCATTTCCACTGAAACTTTTCATGTTTGCAAACTCAATTCTATTGAAGTCTACAAACCAGCTAAATGAATATGCCAAGAATTTGTCGATGTTACGGACTAAAGAGCAGGTCGCAGATGGTTTCAGGATAAAATGCTGTTGCCTTCCCATGGATAAATTAAACTGTAATGTTTACGCATTGAGCTAAAATAAAACCTTAAAAAAGGACGTTAAAATAGCAAATCGGTTTCAAGTGATATTTATAAACTAAGCAGTAATACCGATCGTTTTGTTTTCCAGTTTGTGAGAGGTTAAAAAAAAAAAAGTATATCCAATTGTAGGAACCGGTTTTTTTAAATCAAGTTTAGTAAAACTGGTAGCTCATCGATTCCATCTTTAAACTAGACACGAGGTATGTATTTGAGCCCCTGAGTCCCTTATAACTTTAACCTTCCACTCTCCCCTCTTTCCCATATCCTGCAACCAAACTTAAAGGAAGGTAGAATGTACTCTATTCCCTTCCATATCTCAATCCTATCTTCTAAAAATAAATTTTAAAAAAATCTTAACCTTTATAACAGTATTATTCATGAAGATATGCAACTTTTAAAATTTCATTTTAGTTTTTTCCTTAACATAGTAACATTTCAAAGTTCATATAAATTACATAATGCATAATTTTGAGGATAAAGAGCAAGTGAAAATTAAACTATAGGGGAATAATTGACCACGTTATATTTATACATACATATCTGGGTAAATGTATCTTAAAAGATGCTATTGTTTTGTTTCCTCCTCAACCACTGGCTGTGATTTTAATTGTGCTGGAGGATCTTCATTAGTATTAACACATGGGGAGATTTCACAAAGCTGCTTCATTAGGAAAAAAGAAAGCTGGCAGACTAGGTCTTTTTGCATGCACTGAGAATGTCAGCCTTACCTCGGTCATTTGTAACATAATAAGTGCAAGTACAATGATTGCAATGCAGAAGCACTGGGGGAAGGGCAGAAATACTGCCTGTCTAGTAGGAATAACTGAAAAGAAGGCTGCTCATTACATAGTAAAATGTATGCTAAAAATTAGTGAAGATGATGTCTCAGGAGACTGATGCTAAATAAATTAATGTGCTGATATGTTTTTAATTATTATTTTTGTACTAGTTTATTTCATTCTCAGGATTCACATTGAGCAGCAAAGCTGTGCTAGCATTTATTGATTTTTTTTCCCTGCCACTTTCCCGGAATACAGATTTTAATCATTTCACTACACCACACTCAGTAATTTCATTAAAAACTGAAATCTTCTATCCCCAGAAAAGCATTTAATTTCAACGACATACAATTTCTCTTTTAGCAGCAAACTGTCTCTACAGTAAAAGCTGGCCCACGGTTCAAATGCATAATTTAATCCTGAGTTTTCCATGCTCTGCATTCCTTTCAAGCTATAATTTGAGTAACTACCTAATAACTGTAATAAGGATAATAATTTCCTTATAATATATTATTAACTCATATTTAATTAACTCAGAGGCCAAGCTCCATATATGTATGACTGGGTCAACAGTTCTACAATCTCAAAATTTACTAATAATGTTCTAGAAGAAAAATAGATTAAAATGCAAGTATAAATAGTACCACATAGACTTTCATCTCAAATCATACACATCTATTATACTATAATTGTCATTAACTCAAGATTTTTAAATTTTGGAAATAATGTAATTCAGTATTATTTCTGTACATAAAATGTTATGATATTGATACTTTAACCTCTTACATACTCCCCAATCATTAGCATTACTGTAGATATTTAATTTTAAAAGAATAGAAAAGGGTCTGGTTTCAAAGTGTCTTGATTTTCATAAACAGTTTTCTTCAAACACATTTCTCTTGAAATAAAAATAAGTGGCACACTATAATATTAACAACTAAGAATAAATCTTTTCCTTAAATAGTCTGTTTAAATATTTCATACAAACACAGTTCAGTTGTTTTGTTCCAGCAACATTTTTTTAAAGTATTGGGTATACAGATGACACACTGATTTCCCAAATGATATGATTTAAAAGTATATGTGATTTACATTGCCCAGTTTGTTTTTATTTTTTTTGGAATCCTGGGAATTGATACCACTGAGCTATCTCCCAGCCCTTTTTATTTTTAATTTTGAGTCAGGATCTTGCCAAATTGCTCAGACTGGCCTTGAACTACAATCCTCCAGGCTCAGCGCAGTAACTGAAGTAACTGAGATTCCTGTGCCAGGCACAATTGCCCATTTTTTAAAGGGGGGAAAAACTTTGGAGTAATTTTTTCAATAGAATTTATGACTTTAAATTGTGGAAATTTGAAGTCACAAATTGTCTAATAAACAGGAAAAATGGTACATATGTAATGAAAATGATTAGCTATTATATAAAAACTTATTCCCTGAGTGATTTTAGACCCATACTTCAAAAACTTTCACAAGATTATATGTAATTCTTTTTTTTTTTTTTTTTTTGAGACAGGGTATTGCTATGCAGTTCAGGCTGGCCTTGAGCTCACTTTGTAGCCCAGGCTGGTCTCGAACTCACAACGATCCTCCTGCCTCAGCCTCCCAAGTGCTGGGATTACAGGTGTGAGCCACCACACCCGGCTCCATTATATGTAATTTTTAATTGAAGCACCTTACAACAGTTTTTCTTTGATTGTAAGATGGAATGACATAGCAAAATAAAGCCTGACCATCATAAAAAGTTGGAACAAAGTATAAAAGTGGTGACAGTAAAAAACTTGATTTTAATGTATTTTACAGCACTAGAAACCCAAATTAGCGTTAAGAGCTCTTTGTATAGTTTAGGAAATGTTTTTGTGACATTCTCAAAGATGAAATGAAATTAGATGGAAATCAATCATTAACAAAATAGTTGGTAAATTAAAAATGCACAGATATTTAAATTCATGAGAATTTTTATATTTTAATGTTTAATTTTATATTAAAATATAGCTTTAATATAATTTGGTGTTATCTGGTAATTCAAATACATTAATTATGCAACTTGGTCTATGCTTTTGAACTGATTTTTTAAAGTGGTGTACTAGAAATTTTAAACTAAATTACTTCAAGTATTTAATATCCTCTTACTAAGAATTAGTGCTTAAATTTCTTTTTAACATTATTACTTCCTTTTTTTAATGTTGTCACACTTGATCATTTCAAAAATTAGAACATAATCAGAGTTGAGAAAAAATAATTACTGTAGTCATAAAGTAATTAGTTAACATACTATTCATGTTTACTATCTAAGATACCTAAATGAGTAATCATGTATATTGTAACAGAATTAAATGATTCAGTAGATCTTTTCTAATTTTGATATTTTAAAATTCTATACATATGAAGTATACCTATTCCACATATATTATATATGCTATCACTAAGGAATAACTAAATTGCTACACTTTCATCTGTGAAGCAGCATCTGATTTTAGGACCAAGGTAGATAACAGAAATGAATAGATATCTAATTACTACTATGAGTATTATCAATGGTTCCTCAAAGAATAAGGAACTGCCATATAGGGAACAAAGTGTCAGAAGGTTGACTGCAAAGAAATACAAACAGATCTCAATAGTATTAACAAGCTGGCCACTGTCATATCTTGTTACAGTTTCAGTCACTACAGACAAATGAAGCTTTATTTGTTCTCATTCATTGAATGAACACTTGGGTGCCTGCTATATGCTACATACTGCTAAATGCTGGAAGAAAAACTCTTTTTGGTTGATGCTGAAAGAATGAAATTTCTGAGATTAGAGATTGATATAATTCACATTACAAGGATATAAAACAGATTTGTAAAAATAAAGTCAATTAATTCTAATTGGGAGGCAATAGAAGGTTTATCAAAGTGATGTAATTTGAACTGCATCTCAATACTAAGAGCTTACCAGGCAATGAAAACGGGGGTTTGGAGAGGGGAAGAAACCACAAATATAAATTAAGAGAAATATGCCATAAGTATAAATATACAAAGCTGTTAGATCTTGTCTCCTATCCACTAGTGAGAAATTCAGTATGAACATTCAGTGTGAGGGAAAGGGGTAACCGATGTCATGACAAGGATAAAGCCATAAAAGGAGGCTGAGACTAAAAGAGTGAATGCCCTAATGTACCAAGAGACAGTAATTGAATTTATACTGAGAAACAACAAAGGTTAGCAAAAGAGTAACATGATGGACCCAGATTTGAAGGAACAATA